CCCTGAGCTCAGGCTCCCCTGGGCCCTGCTGTGTCCCTGCGGGGGCAGCACATGTCTCTCCGACAGCCCCTTCTCGAAGGGTGGGAGAAGGGCTGGCAGCAGGCAGGAGAGGCAGGATTTCCTGCCAGCTCTCCAGCCAGCCAGGGCTCTGAGGGACGGGGCGGGAGGCCAGCTTCCCCTGTGTGCCCATCCCCAGCCAATCAGGGCTATGGAGGCAGGGCCAGTCCTCAGAGCACTGCTGCTGATCCATCCAGTGCAGGTGTCATGCCTTAGACTAACCCAGACTCCCCCTGGCTGCTCTACCTGGCTCCTGGCTGCTCCACTCCAGTCTGGCCCAAATGCAGCCACCAAACTCACCGCCCGCTCCCGTGGCTCTGCCCACGCCACCCAGAGGCCGATTAAGGCTTATTGGGGTGCTGGGTACAAAGAACATTTGGTCTCCCCAGCTCCCCTCACCATGGGGCCCTGCCCCTTGGTCCTCCTCTTCCCCCCAAGGCTCCACTCCCAGGCCTGGCCGGAAGCTGGCCTGTGGTAAGAGCTGCCCAGGGAGCCCAAGTCACAGTGGGGAGGACCGGACCCTCCACCTACCCAGGGCGGCATTCCCTGGGGGTGGGGATACAGACTGTGGCTGCTCTCGGGCTCCCTGGCCCCCCACCCCGGGCAGGTGGAGGGTCCAGGGCTCCCCACAACTGGCCCCAGCTCCCTGGGCGCCTCTTACCACAGCCAGGCTCCAGCTTCCAGCCTGGCAGGAGACAGAGCCACAGGGGAAGAGGACAAGCGGGGCCACAGTTCTGGAGCCAGTGGCACCCTCACTTCTGCACAGGTTCCGGCGCTCCTGCAGGGGCCCCCAAATTGGCTGGCGCCCCTGGGCACGGGCCCTGTGGGCCTGTGCATTAATCTCCCATTGGTTCTGCCACCCTTTACTCATACGGATAACAGCACTTCATCCCCCTGCACTCAACACTATCGTGAACTGTACCCAACAGCAGCCAAAACGGATCCCTTTGGCAAAACAGCTCCATCGGCTCATTACCTAGGCACAGTAGGCGTGTCTGTGCAAATACGGCCTGGCGAGATGTTAGGGGAGAGCTCATTCACCCCCTGCTTACGTTGCCGACAAGGGGCTTTAATAACATCTAAAGACTGTTAAGCCAGGGATTTCCCCTTCCAAAAAGACCCTTTAAGCCAAACTAAGGAAAAGTGACCTGGAGCGGGGCAGTAACCCTGCTCCGAGGAGAAGAGGTTAAAGGCAGTTGAGGTAGGCTGCTTGAAGAGGCAGCCACAGCTTTGCCCTGATCTAAGGGCTAAGGAGGAGCTGGGTCAGTCTCACTCCAGCGGGGAGCGGGAAGGGCCTGGCTGCCTGGGAGCACAGGGTCCCTGACGCAGAGCAGTGCTGGGGATGGGCAAGAGGAGCTGGGGAGCTCCGGCTTGGCAATTCCCCAGGCTGAGGCCTTGTTAAGGCCCAGTGTGGTACTGGGGCTGCAGAGGTGCAGCCTGGGGCTAGGCAGAAGCAGCTGATCCAACCTCCTTGCCAGTGATGAGTGGCCATGACAGACTGCAGTCTGCCCCAGAGAAAGGGGGCTAGATGACGACTGGCAGTAGCCACTGAGGCAAGGTGGGCATAGGGGGAGGGGGTTCCCCATGGAAGGGAGACCCAGAGTGTGGGGGCACTGCTTTGGGACAGCACCCCAAGGTAAAGGGCACTGGGGTCTGTGAGGGACATGGGGGCCTGAAGCAGGAGAGACACCGGCCAGCAGGAGGCGCTCCTAGTGCTGGAATTGAGCTCATTCCTGGATGACCAGCAGGCGGCGCCGCGCCAGTGAGTCAGCGATCTGCTACATGGCCAAATAAACTAGTTAATTTGAAGCAGTAAAACAAGAGTTCTGTGATGAAACCCCTCGGCCCCTTAGAAAGGCACAGCAGGGGCGGGGACAAAGTTGAGTGGCTAGTGTCAGACTGTTGCAGTGGAAGGTTCTAGACCAGTGGGGCAGCGCTGGGTTCCTTTCATTGTCCGTCTCCAGACTTCCTGACGTTCGGTGTCCAAAGGCCTCATTGTTTTGTCCAGAAAATGTAGTAATTGCTTTGGACGGTAGCTGGCCCCACTGACACACTTTCAGCATTAACTCTTCTTACGGGTTGTGGGGAGGGATTGCTGAACAGTTTGCATTCCCTTCTCTAGAGAACAAACAAAGCAATTCCCAGCCCGGAGCAGAGCAGATCCGTTCTCCTGTGTTTCTCTCTTGTGCTGTGTGTACATGAGCAAACGGCCTGTTCATCTCTCATGCTGCCCCCTCTCCTGCAGTATTTGCCATTTCAACAAAGTTGACTTTTTCCCACAGAAAATTTTGCTTTCCCTGAGACCACATTTCTGATGGAAAAAGTTTTGCCCAGCTGGAGCAATTTCCTTGTGTGATGGTGCCCCCCATAATGCTTCATGGAATGTGCTTATGAATGTATATATGACATAACTAGAATATGTTTTATGCTACATATGCCATGTAACATATCTCTGTAAAGCTTATGATCTACTGAATTTATTAATCCTATTTGTATGCATGTATCATTTTTGTACTTGAAGTTAGGAATATTGGCTGTATACTTGCTTGATTGTAACTAGCCTAGTAGAGCATTTGGTCAGCTTCCTGAGAAAAGTGCAAATTAGGTGCCCAATCAAAAACCACTTCAGCCAACAATGAACTTGAAGATGCCAATCCACATCTGTGCCTTCCCAGGAATGTAGCTTGGCTGTTAAAAACTGACTCATGCATGGACATGTGGCTTGCTCATGTGACTCCAGAACTCCATCTTGGAGCTGGACTTTGCATTGGAGAGAGGAGGGGGTCTCTACCCACAGGAGAAAGTCTATTTAAACCCCTGGGAGACCCTCCATTTTGTCTTCAGCTGGCTAAAGGAAGGGATAGCCTCTCCACCCCCAAGAATACCTGAAAGAGACTGGAAGAGCATCTCTGTGAGGTCGACTCCCGCTGTGGCCGGGGGTCGCTGCCTTTTGGAGCGCCGGACTAAGGAGGACGGGGAGGGCCTGGCTCCCGGCTCAGCCGGGGATTGGCTGAGGTGAACATACTCGAGCTGCGTGCCCCAGCCGCAGCCACCCCAGCTCCACTCCCTGCAGAAGGGTGACAAGACACCCTACCATGCCACCCTTCCTTCTGCGCTGCTGCTGACGGCAGCACTGCCTTCAGAGCTGGGTGCCCGGCCAGCAGCCGCCGCTCTCCGACTGCCCAGGCCTCCCCACACACATGGGTCCCACGGGCATGGACAGCCCCCTGACCATGGTGCCCCCTGGACCACTGCACCCTGGGCGGTTGCCCACCCCCAAATCCAGCCCTGCTCATTGACTTTCAATGGGCTCTGTGCTCCTAAGTAACTCGTGACCTTTGGAAAATCCCTCCCCCCATTTTTGCTTGTTGCTATGTGACTGTTTGACTGCAGGCCAGCAAGCAAGAGCCCTTACAGGAGACAGCCCCTGGGTCTGTGACCTCTTCACCGAAGCACATGGTCAGGCAAAGCTGGGGGCAGAGCCCTGATTCTCAGGCTGAGGAGCGGCTCCGCCTGCTGTGGGAGTGGAATACACCCCGTGTCTGCCCCACAGGCTCTCTCTGGGTATTGTATCAATAGCAGGTAGCCCATAGTTTCTTCTCCCAGCATCCCAGTCTCTCCTGCCCGAAACGTGAGAAAGGACTGGTGGCCCAAAGAGTTAATTTTGGTGCAGTTGGCAGCAACGGGCCCATCCCAACAACCCTACACTAGGGCCTGATCCAATGCCCACTGAAGTCAATGGAAGATTGTCTGTTATCAACTGGCTTTGGACTAGGACCTACTTGCACACGTGGACAGTAATTCAAGGTACTGATTAAAGGGCCCCTCACGCCACTGCTGCAGCTCCCCAGATATCGTCAGACGTGCAGGCCTGGCTTTCAAATCTTGCTAGGCCATTGCCGAAAATTCCCTCACAGCAACCTGCAGACCCCTAAGACTGTGGGGCAACGAACCCAGCCAGGTCTGCCAGCCCAACTCCCCCAAGGCAGGAAGGCTGAGAATACTGGGAATGGATCTACGCAGTACGATGCCCATGAGAGCACAGCAGAGAGTAAGTGGCACGCAACAGAAAGTTACCAACTGGGGCCACCACTTTTTAAAATGCCTTTTTACTGTGAAGCTTTAATCCCTGCTAATGAGCAGTAGAGCGGGTGTTTCTAAAAACCCTTCTGTGTTTCTGGATTTCCCCACCCGTGACCTCTGGAACTGCACATGAGTCTGAGAGCAAAAGACACTGAAAAGTCACTACGGATCGGAGGCATTTACTCTCCCCGGAGCTTCTACATCTGGATACTGCAGGTTTTGCAAATGATTCTTCTGATTACGAATATAACTAAATCAAGTCAACGCAAAGCACAAGTGCCCAGCAGATATTAGCTCGGAAAGTGCATGAAAGAAAAGAAAAGAGAAAGTTGCCCCATTTTGGATAAACATGATACTTCCCCCTCCAAGTTGGGTGTGAGGTTTGGCCATGACACACTCTGACCCTTTTCCCTCCCTTCGTGGAGCAGGGGTTGGTCTCACTGCAGACAGGAAGGTGGGGAAGGGGTGACTAACAGTAAGACGCTGGTTTGATGAGGATGGCAGAGGCTTGGCAGTTCCCACTACAGAAACTACCCCAAGTGATGCTCCCTTTGACGTTCAGTCGAACAGAATGACAAGCCGAGTACCACCAGCCCCCACCATAGCTAGACGCACAGTTCCCACCGTAAATGTCCTGATCCAGGTCTTTAGCAGAGAACTTCATGTTGTCATGCACGGTGGTAGGATTGTTTGAAGTCATGGCGTCCCCTGCAGTCCCAGTGTAAGAGCCCAGCCTCAGCCTGTAGCCTTTGGACTCCTCTTCCAGACCGAAGAGGTTGTAGTCTGCGTATTTCATGGTGCCGGATGAATCGTGGATGACAAACCTGATCTGGTAGACCTTCTGCTTGGCGATCTGATAGATGTACTCCGTCCCCAGCCAGTAGTCATCCTGCACGTTGCCAAAGCCGTACTTGTAGGTGCTCCAGGACTCAGCCCAAGTGATCTGTGTGTCGTGCCGGTTCCGCTGGAGGACCGTCCAGCCCTCGCTGGTGCTGTTCAGCTCACAGTAGACCTCGAATTGATGGAGTCCTGTGGGCTGGATGACGAAGACGCCACTGACCCTGTTCCAGGTTATCTCGCTGCAGTCCTTGGGCCAGGCTGTGGGCAAAACGAGACAAGTTTTCAAGAACAAAACCTCATGGAACAAAACCCCGCTCAGAGTTACGATCACAGTGGAGTTTCCATAAAATCTTTCCTTGGCCTCCTTCCCAACTCCTCCGCCGAGGAATAGCAGCTGCAT